GCGCGCGGGGTGGGTGGGGGTGGGTTGGGCGGGCGTGTGGGTGTGGGTGCGTGGGTGTGGATGATGTTGGGTAGGTGGCTGTGTGGTGGGTGTGCGTGTGTGTGTATACGCCATCCCATCCATTCCTCCATCCTATGTATCATTGCATCCCACGGACCCACCCATCCATCCACCCATCCACCCGCCCACCGCATCCCTTCCATCCATCCATCCATCCATCCCTCCCTCCCTCCCTCCCTCTCTCCCTCTTATCCGCCATCCATCGCGTCCATCCATCCAGCCCGCGCGGCGGACATGCGAGGCCGGCGCGCGGAGCACGAAAATACCACGCAGAATGCTCGCGGCCAGGCCGGGCACCTCGATCAGCACCGGGCCTTTACTCTTACCGGGTCTTACCGTAAGAACCCCTCAGTGGACACACTGTTTGGGGAAAAGAACCCAAAGATCAAAGAAGGCCGGCTTTGAGCAGCTGAGCAGCTTCCACTCCTCGAACAAAATCCTCTGCGACATCGCACTTATTGAGAACAATGATCACTGGGATGCCGTTCTTGTGAAGGAGCGAGCAAACCTTCTGCATGTGCCTGGGGTTGAACCTACCACCGCTGATAACATCCACGACCCACCAAACCAGGTGCAGGAGCTCTGAAACCCTTGCAGGGCTTTCGACGTTGTGACTCTCGCTTGCACGTCTTCGCTCTTCAACTAGCTTCTTCAGTTGCTTAAGAACTCCGTCAGCTCCGTCAGTCTCGAAGCCCTTCGTATCGTAGAGATTCACGGGACAGGACTCAGTTGCTCTGTACAAAGTGATCTGCTGAGTGACCGATCGGCCTGCGCCCGTCTGCGCCAGCTGCCGTCCAAATGCGGCATTGCATAGGCTAGACTTGCCCGTGCCGCGATCTCCCAATAGGACAATGCGCGCACCCCGCTCTGCAAGCTGCTGAGCAGTCTCATGAAGCTCTTGCTTCAACACGCCCTGGGTGGTTTCTTGGTGGTTTGTATTGATAAAAGACTGGCTACGCCTCTCCGGAAACAGAACGCCTTCCTTGGACAGCTGAAACCGGCATTCATTGGAGATAGCATTCTGCAAGCCCTCCCCGAACTGTGCTTTCCAACTCGGAACCTGCAAAATCGTCTCCAGAGTTTTGCAAGCCGTGTTGGTGCCCACCTCGTGGGTCTGCGCAGCCAAGAACCTTAGCACCAACTTGGCGCTTGCCTCATCCTGGTCCAGGACGCTTGCCAGCAGATCGGCAGCCTTCAACTCCGCCGCGAGGCTGCAGAAGCCATGAAGCACGGACTCCGCCTCTGCGTCGTTGGCGGACGCCTCCTCGGTTCGCCCATGTGGCGATGGTTGGAGCGCTGGCAATTGCCTTTGCACGAATCTGACCAGGAAGGTCCAACATGGTTTCTTAATGTAGATTTGTTCAGTTCCCCCCGGTAGAACACTGGGCATCACAGTCGCACCCCAGGACCCAGAGCATGCTGTGCAAAGAACCAAGGCCGAGACAAATACGGATTTTCTGATTTCCCACAAGCTTCCTGATATAAAGCATGTTGGTTGCTGGAATTGCAGACATGACAAAACACAATCTGCCGTAGCAACATCAAACGGAGCCGGAAACTCGTTTGTCTCGTACTACCAGAACCACAAAATCAGGAGCAAACAACAACGAAAGAGCCCACACCCAGCCCCTGGCCGGCAACGAACAATTACCTTGGCCGGTAAAAGATACCAAACCGAATTTGAATACAGAGGAGCGAGGACCAAAGAAGACCAATACCACATCAAGTGTCAAACATACTAAACTCTACAAATCGCTCCTACAAAATCCTGCATCACTAACTCAAAGACTGCTCGAAGGGCACCAAATCTGACCCCAGATTGATCTTACGGTGTTCAATGTTCAATTCTCTCACTAAATGGGAAATTGAGGACCACAGCTGCAGAAAGCTGTGGGCTCCTGGCTTTGCTCCACGCACATGGTGTTCTCAAAATTCACAAGCCTGCCGACGCAGCTCCGCCACTCTGCAAGCCTCTCGTCTTCCATGTTGCGCTTGGCCCCAGGAGTGTTGGGAAGGGAAGACTTCGTCTGAGCTGGGAAAAGGTGCAGAAACGTGTTCCACGCGCGCAATCGTTTCATGGGTAATTTTATTGGAAGCCCACTCTTGGTTGGGTTTGAAGGAATTACCAGTAAGAAACCAGTCAAGCCGCAACCGCGGGTGGCAGGACAAGTCAAGCGCAGAGAACCAACTGAGGCCCTCAACCGCACAAAGCCAGAGCGGCGTGTGGCGTTTTTTCGTGGGCAGCACTGCACAGATCCGCCCGAGAGAGGAAACCCCAACCGCTGAGGCACTGAGGCTCACTCGCGACCTGCTTCCCAAACTCTGCTTTCAGGCAGTTGACACTGTTGCTTAGGGCTGCTATTGTAAATTGACAGCAAATTATACGCCGGGAGCACCAGGTAGGTCTCTTTCAACCAACTGTGGCCATCTACTTTATTGGGCCAGGAGTGGGCCGCAGCGCCTCAAGCATAGCTGAGCAAACAGCGATTCCATGCCAAGAATCGTGACGAATTACTGCACACAAGGTTCCTCTTGCTCCAGTAATGTCTCTCTCAGCTCGGATGCAAGATGTTTTTTCACCCGCTTAAGACACCATTGTGTGCATTCGCAACCAAACCCATGCTCTCAGTGTTCTGCACATTGCAGAGCAAGGGGGCCCTGGCTGAATTCCATGCGCCCTTTCGACTCGAAGGGGCAATTCCAAGCCACCATCCAGCGGCAAAGTCTTCAGGCCGAGCTCTCGGAAGAGGCGCTACGGAGGTCTCGGAGGCGGTTCTGAAACATCTGCTTGCAGCTGGTCGACCTCCATGATCTGGGCGAGCTCTTCTGGTCCCACCTCAGAGCCGGCTGGTTTTCTGGAAAACCACGGCATGCTTCAAAGAGCGCAGAAAACAGAACTGCTCCGCGTTTCATGGAGCGAAAACTCCCCATCGCCTCAAAGCACATCACTGTTTCTGTTAACGATCCTCTCCACGGGCGGCAGGACCCTTCCCTGATTTCAGCAAGGGTGGCAACCTTAAAATGGCTGGTGCGCGTAAACCCGTGCAAATGATGCCCGCAAAAGGGTTCCTGAGGCGATCCCAGGGTTCATCTTAGAGTGGAATTCGTCACTTTTGAAACAGCTTACCCCTTTATCCCCCGTACCTGAGCGGGGTACGTGGGGGTAGATTGTGTATACCTACTGCGGGGGAGACGGAAAGGGTGGGCAGTTGTTTCTATCTTTCAATGTAGTGCGCTGTTTCTCCCCAAGTTCCAGCGCAGTCTGCTTCGGGCCGCAGACCCCAAGCAACTCAACACGGTCCCAAAACAAGGAAAAACTTGCAGTAAAGTCCAAAACTAAGACCCAGAAAATGCAAACAAACATGAAATCCAACTACCTACCGAACCCAGCAATCTCATTTCAAGATAAGTGGATACCGCGAGATAATCCACCAGGTTCATTCATCCAGGGTCAAAGTTACCCATGTCACTCCCTTCAAAGGTACCATGGTCGTTCCCAAGGGTTGGTGGTTATGCCATTGCCCAGTAGGGTAGATTTCCAGCCATGTCTTTCTCGTCCCCCGCCTGGTTTAGCAGCGCTTTGGACCGCACATCGCGCAGGAGCTGCGTGGCCACCCAGCCAAGCGCTGCCGTGGTTGCGCCAAGGGCCGCCGCTTCCGCGGCGACGGCGGGCACGTTGAAGCCGGGCACTAGCTTGAGAAAGTCCAGGCCCATACACGCGGGAATGCTGATGCTGGTGCCTTGGCCGGTTGTAGCTTGAAGTGTCTTCCACTGTTTTGAGCCAAGGTTGAACCATTCTATGGACCAGGTTGGACATGGGTGCGTTTGGCCATCGATTCGACTGGAATTTGCCCTGACTGCGTTGCGCCCCGCCTGCGATGGAGGAGCAGAGATGTACGGCCGTCTTCTTTGACATCGCCACGCGATACACCCCGGCGATGCTGAGCACCATGGCCACCTGCACCGGGACGCACAAGGCCCGTGACGCGAAGGGCACCGGGACGGCCGCCAGCGCCGCGGCGCTGGCGGTGTAGGAGGCGACCACCGCCTGGGCCCACCAGTCCAAACCTTCCAGCCAGGCCTCCTGGACCCGTAGAAAGGAAGCGGCCACCAGGTCTGGCAGCAGCCGGGCAGTCTCCTCAAGGGCTGGACCCTTGTTTGGAGCGTATGTTGCCCTCATGAAGAATCCGGATCTGGTATATATGGCGCTTTGAGCATGACGTGACAAGTAAAAACAAACATCATATATGTTGACCTCTGCAAGCAACCCTACGATATGTTTCTTCTTCCAAAAAGGGCCATCGAGGTCCACACAAAACCAGCTCTGCTCCTGAATCAACGCCTCAATGCCGTAAGAGGGTCGGAAATGCTGGCTTTTGCCGCACAAGCCGCATGCGTAGCACCTCTTCTGCACATTGATTGATAACTCATTGGATTGGCAGGCTTCATGCTGGCAGCGGAGAATGCGGCAGAAGCCAACCATTTCGCCCGTTTTATGGCGTGGACGTGTTGATTCAGGAGCAAACTTGGATTTTTTGAGCCTCTGTTGGGAAAAATGGCTTTAGGGTGAAAACCGGGTTCCACGCGGAGGTCAACATGATGATTCATGATGATTTGTTTTAAGAGGCTCAAAGCATACCTCGCGCACTAAGTCAATTAGCAGCCCTCTGCTGGGTTCAACATTATGTTTCAAAACCAATGAACATCACTTTACTCCGAACACTCCCCACTTGTAAACAGGCACCTGAAGGTCAATCCGACTGCGTGCGTGGCCCCAAGCATGCTGCAGGGTGATGCGACGGCGAAGAAACTCAGTTGAACTGGAAGCAAGGCAGCGCTGAACCCTACTCAACGGCGCGGCTGCAAATTCGCAAGGCAAATGAATAGGCCAGTAAGTTCCCGATCGATTCTATGACTGCGATCGTTTTGCTTACTTTGCCGCATGAAGGAACCGTTTGGGCGCCCTCGATGTAATTTTCAGCTAGCGTGCCCCCTACTACCTGCTTCAGTAAGGTGAGCTGATCATAAGCGTAACAGTGTCCAGAAAAAAATTAGGGTGACAGGAGCTGCTGGTGGCATGGGCTCGAGGAGTGGAAGCAGCAGACCCTAGCAAGCCATCGCCACTCCACTGTCTTGCCTGCACACTAATTAATCCTTTTAGTTGAAGTGTTGCAATAAGCAAAACGAGCTCCGCGCATGTCCTGCAAAAGTCGCAAGCTAAATGAGCAGGCCAGCAAGCTTGACATGTGGGGGTCAACTCTATGGGTGGGAGCCTCCGCCTTTGGCCTGTCGGCCTTTTCGCGAACGCACGATATTCTTGAATAATTCAATCCAGAAGCGGCACGCTTCGGGGGTCCCAATTGTGAAATAACAGGAGCCGGAAGAAAGTAATTGATTGTTGAGACCCTTCTGACCATTGATTGGTTCCAAACATTGGACAATCCCGCCCTTCCCCATTTGACCTGTTCAGGAGACTGCCCGGCTGCTGCCAGACCTGGTGGCCGCTTCCTTTCTACGAGCCCAGGAGGCCTGGCTGGAAGGTTTGGACTGGTGGGCCCAGGCGATGGTCGCCTCCTACACCGCCAGCGCCGCGGCGCTGGCGGCCGTCCCGGTGCCCTTCGCGTCACGGGCCTTGTGCGTCCCGGTGCAGGTGGCCATGGTGCTCAGCATCGCCAAGGTGTATCGTGTGGCGATGTCAAAGAAGACGGCCATACATCTTTCCTTGTCCATCGCAGGCGGCTTGGCTCAACGCTCAGGTCAACATTCCAATCTAATCGATGGCCAAACGCTGGTCCACAATGGGTCAAGGTCAAACAGTCAAAGACACTTCAACCTACAACCAGCCGAGGCTCCGGCATGAGCGTTCCCGCGTATATGACCCTGGACTGGCTCAAGCTAGTGCCCGGCTTCAACGTGCCCGCCGTCGCCGCGGAAGCGGCCCTTCTTGGCACAATCACCACGGCGCTCGGCTGGGTGGCCACGCAGCTCCTACGAGAAGTGCGGTCCAAGGCAGTACTAAATGAGGCAGGGCACGAGGGCCATCGGCCTAAATGCATTTTTTTTGACTTCCTTTTAAGACCAAATGGGGGTTTCAGCTATGGGTATGAGGCGGAGCGCAAGGGGGAGATGTGGGTAATGTTGCCCTCTTGGATTGTTTTGGGGTGCATGGGTTTATTCATCTTGGGTTCTCACTACACTAGTTTCAAATGGGGGCCTTTTGGCTGACCTTGTTTACATGGGAATTTATATCCAACAACTTTTGCGGAGGATGCCCACTATGTGCCGTTACTTCAAAAGTTGAGCCAATGGATTTGTTTGACCCATAAATGTAGTCTGGCCAGTTCTGGTTTCTGCCCAGGGTGCTGTTGCTGAAGCATGTAGCTGTGATGTTCGGTCAGTCTGCTCTCAGGTGAAACCAGAAGAGCTCGCTCAGATCATGGATGTCAACCAGCTGCAGCAGATGTTTCGGACCCGCCTCCGAGACCTCCGCACAGCCGGCGCTTCTTCCGACCAGAGCTTGAGCAGCTCGGCCTGACACCCAGTACTTCCAGGCAAGCCACTGTACTAAGAAAAAGACATGCGTTCTCTAGGTTTACATCCTACTAATGGCAACTGGAAGCACTGGGTGAAGGTTTGATCTCAAATCGCCAGTGCCGCGGGATTTCCGCCTGGAGAAGATGGCGGCTTGGAATTGCCCTTTGAAAAGGGCGCATGGAATTCTGAGATGAGGGCAAGACGCAATTATGCCATTGCTTCATCGTGATTAGAGACGGCTGTGGTTATGGTGCAAGAGTAAGTGAGGTATAAGAGCGACGACTGGGAGGAGCCTCTTGCGTTTCAAACCCAGAACACTGAGAACACGAGTTTGGTTGCGAACGCAGCTACTTTAAGCGGTTGACAGGACAACTTTAATCCTGGAATGAGCTGAGAGAAAGCTTGCTGGAGCAAGAGGAGCCTCGTGTACAGTAATTAGTCACGAGTCAAATTTGTTCTCAGTCTGGAATCGGCCTTTGCTGAGCTATGCTTGAGGCGCTGCGGCCCACTCGTGTCCCAACCAAGTAGAACACATCTAGATAGCCACCTTTGGAATTGGAAAAGTCACTTGGAATGAAACCTACCTGGTGCAACCCTTCCGTCAATTCAACCGCTAAAAGCGGAGGTCGACAGAGGTTGCAAGAGCCCTCAGCGGCTGGCCGCGGGGGCCGCAGCTTTTCCTCTCGAAAGGGCGGACTTTGTTCAGCGCTGCCCAAGAAAGGCGCCGGGCTGTGCTGGTTTTAAGCGGTTTGCGGGCGGGCGCCTTAGTTTGTTCTCCTCTTTCTGCCTCATTCCCGGAGTTTCTGGACTTTCTTTTGGGAAGACCTTAGTGGTCAAAAAACAGTTCGGACTTTTGCCAATCCGCTGAGGAAGTGAGCTTGTCCAATGAGATCCTCGACTTTGCCAAAGGACATTCAGTCAAACCTGGACAAGTCAAGACATTCATTTGCGTGGACCCTTGTTGGTGTTTGAAGGGAAGCCAAAAGGAAACCAAAGGAAACCGAAAAGAAAACAACCATGTATGGAAACCCCTTTTCGAGAAACACCCATTTGGCACAGCTTGATACCCGGCCAAACGCCTCACCAAAGTTGGGTCAAACCACACGGAAACATGTAGATTCCATGCAAGGCCTCACCGAATTAGGGAATGAATTCGGATCGAAGGTCCCCCTCTGAATTTGTAGGACTTGTAGACATTTTGCGGACCAACGACGCAACCCTTCTCAACCTCTCCCCTGGGTTTCCTTCAAATACAGTCCTTTCAGCGGCTTAGCCGAAGAACACTCAGCACAGTTCCTACTGCTCTCACTTTTCGAGCCAAACTTTTTTTGGGGGTGTCCGGTTCCGGGTGTCGCTTTGATTTGGGGTCCCGGCTTTCCAGCGGGTCGGGGAGCCGCCAGCCGAAGCAAAATTGAGGGCGCGCACCCTGAAGACCATCCGGGAGATGACAGGCGTTCCGGTGTTGGGGGCCCGAGTTTTTCCCCGTTTTTGGTTGAGAGGCGAGAAACGTCGATATGCCCAGTGTGTGTGTGTGTGCGTGTGTGTTTTGTTGTGAGTTGGGTGGTTCTGCGTTTGAAGGAACCAAAAGCGCACCATCATTTCTTGAAGGGGGGAGGGCTGTTTTTACATGAACACACCTGTATTTGCAAAATTTCGCACATTTCCAGAAAAGGAAATCATGGATCGCCATGTAATACACCTTCAACATGGTGTGCTCGTTGCCCCCCAGGTGAGCTCGGCGGACCCACATGCGTTTTGTTCTGCTAGGCCTGGTCTGTGCTATGAAAGCAGCTCGAAGAAGGCACAAAGCAGGCTGATTTTTCTTGCTCCCCTGGTTTCTCTCCATCCATCATGGCTCCTTTCAGTTTCAAGATTTGTCTTTGTTTTGGTTTGTTTATCGATGGCTTTTGTAGATTCGTTGGCTTTCTGGGTTGGCTCCTGACCCATGACTGGTTGGTTCACACCCGATGTTGGATGCTTACATGCGCCTGATGCTTGCTTTGAATCTACTGCTTTGAAGCCTGGGCAGGGTCCTCTATTTCAAGAGGCCTGGTGGCATTAGGACCTAATGACAACCAGTTCCGCCCCTTTGCCGCATGCGTTTTTGGCGGATCCATGTGCCATGAAGGATCGCTTTGAGTCAGCTTCAAGCACATGGCAGTTGCTTGGTTGGTTTCGGTCGGCCTCAGCAACGCCTGGTGAGGTGGTCCATGTCGGGCTTGTCCTCTTTGGATGCTAATGACTCGCTTTTGGGTGTGAGACTAATCGCTGGAAATTCGGAGCCCATGTTGGAATCCATGTTCGCTCAGAGAGCACCTGTACGCGATGTTGTAAAGTCAGCGTTGCATGTTTTCGCAAACCCCATGTCAGACGTGCCGCCAGCCAGAGGTTCATGGCTGATATCCAACTGTGATTCGCAAGAAGTTGAGTGCGTGCATGTGCTCAGGCTCAGCCTGCACGACGAGGGTCGGGCGCTCTGGAAATTTACTCGTCGACCGCACCAAAGGGCATGCCACCCTTTTGTTAGAACCCATTTAGGGTAGCCCAAATTTGGACAACTCGCTTAGCCATGCGGCTTGGTCATTTGCATTGGGCACCTAGCATCGTAAGGTGGAGGAGGATGGACCATGCCGTAAGGCCGTGCACTCCAGGTCGCTCCATGCATCCATCCGTCCATCCATCCGTCCGTCCATCCATCCTTCCATCCATGCATCCATCCGCTAGACGCCATCTAGGGTCACCCAAGCCAAGGGTTTATCACCCCGCCCTCCCATTGCCGAACAGGGGTGTGTGGGTGTTTCTAAGAATAGCTGGGGGTTGGAAAAACGGCATCTCAAAAGACAACTTCAGGCTCTTCCCGGAAACTTCAAGTTCAGATTCATGCCGGAAGTTCCAGAGGAAGAAAGACCTGCACACAAGAAGAGCCATCTAATGACTCGCGACGGCTAAGCAGCCGGGAATGATTCAATTCTAGCATTCCGGTCCGAAAGTGGTGGTCCTTGGTTGTTGTGTTTTGCCCTTCTGATTCTACATCCACCAAACAAGGGCGACTTTGCGGTGTCCTTCTTTCTTTCTTTCTTTCTTTCTTTCTTTCTTTCTTTCTTTTTACGCAGCTTTTCAGATTGTCCTCCATTTAGAAGCGGTGTTCTTTATTTAGTGTTAGATTTGCCCTTCAACTCCCACCCAAAAAGATTCTACAGTGTATTTTTGTCTGTTTTTGATTCACTCGTCAACATCCACCAAGCAAGTTGATTTGTCATGTGACGTGTTTTCTTAATTTAGGTGTTTAGATTGTCCTGCCTTAGCCATGTTGGATGTTGTCGCATGTGTCACTCTGAGAGCAGCGCACGTGCCTCGCCAGTTTTCCATTTGTTTCTTTCTGGCAGCCTGTGACTTGCTTGTTAGGCCCTCTATTCGCGGTGTTGGTTGATTGGACTACCTTCCAAATTTCCCACTACAGGTGAGTGTTCTGTCTGGGCAGCACTTTTCGCCATTTCTCTTTGGTTTGCCAGGGCGTCCTTCTAGCCCTTTGTGAACTAAACGATGGCTGATACTCTTGCAAAGTGGGCTTGATCAGGCGCATGCCCTCGTTTCATCTTTCTCAGGGGATTCCATGAGCTCACTCATGCTAGGGGTTCCCTGCTTTCTGGCTGGTGAGTTTTCAATTTGCCCAGATAAACATGTTTTTGGTGGCTTGAGGCAACTGGGTGGACATCAAAGGCGCGGGGCAAGCAGCCGACACCGAAGTGGGGTGTGCCTACAAGAGGGCACCCTCTTGTGGGGTCGTTTAGACACTTTTGGGACAATGCGTGTGGTTTCACTTATTGCACAAGCAGTTTTATATTTGCGCAACGGTAAAACACTCTCCAAGTGTTGTTGAAAGCGTTTAATATAAACTTATTCTTTGCTTCTGCTTCTGGCAAAGGGGCATCAATCAACATCTCTTCCCTCGCCAAAGCGGTCAAGCAGCAGGACAATTGAGAGTGGAGTGTGCTTGAAGATAGAGAGCGCGTTTGGGAAAGTTAGTTTTGCATGACGTCAAACTGTCTTCCTAATTTACAGCCAGCTCAATCGAGGGTGCATCTGTTTACTCATAGTGCTTGAGTGTGCCAAACCGCGTGCCAGTAGGTCTGGTGAAGCTGGTGGGCTTAGGCTCTCACAACTTTCTGGGAATCCAAAAGGAGGTGTTTGTCAAAGGAAGGGTCAGTTGGTACCGTCAATAGTGTCAAAACTTGTTGTCTTGGGCCAAGGCCCCTTTGGCCCTTGTGATTGCGTTTCAACCTGTGCAGTAGCTTACTGAGGGAACGACCCTTTCAAACCCAAAAGACGCTATTGGCTCACCAACACGTCGCTTGCCCGGGAATGATCCGCTTGGGCCTGGTAACGGTAGGGGGGGCCTTGCGTTCCGAGAGGCCTGCGGAACGAGGTGGAGACGGCGGGCCTTTGTCTGGAGGAGACCGGAGACGATGTCCAGCCCGAACCGGGTCCCCGTGAAGTTATTGCAGCCGCTGTGTTGCAATAATGTGTGGGGGGTATGAAGGTTTGTTGGAATAAGCAACGTGCTTAAGCCACTATATGAAGGGGTTGTACCCTGGTAAAAATGGGGGTCGTGGAAATCTGCTTGGGCCAGTTTGGTTGGCAGTTGGGGCCGGATTGGTGAGGGGAACCAGCTTGAAGTATCGTTGTGAGTGATGTTTAAGCAGGGAATATGGGGGAGCCCTGTTGGTCTGAATTGGTTTGTGATGTGCGTGTGTGTGTGTGTGTGTGTGTGTGTGTGTGTGTGTGTGTGTGTGTGTGTGTGTGTGTGTGTGCCAGTGACGTGCAACAGCCGGCTCCAAGACATCCCCAACAATTCCCCTATGCTTGAAAGCCTCCTCACAATATGGTGGCCTGACTGCGGGGTCAAACCATCCTCTGGTAGAATACCCTCATCATGGCTGTCTCGACAAAACGAAATGGTACTGCCCCCCCAAAAGTGCAGGATTGATTTCAAAGTCCGCCAACCCTTTCTCCCTTTAGAGCTTTGCGAGACGCTCTTGCGCGAGGCCCACATGAGCTACCACTCGGTCTTCGCAGAGATGGAGGAGGCGCCGTTCCTTCCGCGCATGTGAATGGTTCAGGCCCGGAAGGAATACGTGGCATGGCTGTCTAAAGCCCTGGGGTCGAGGACCATTGCTACCCAAAAAATCACATGGCTACCATTTTGGGGTAGGTGTACCACCCATTTTAGAACCTATTTTAGTCGGGGATTGGGATGTTCATTGGGGGTACGGGATATTGACCCATGGCCACATGATTGTCGCACATCTGGGTGGGCGTTTTTTAAGTTCAGCCGCACTGGTCTTAAAGAGCCAAGGTGAAACCCGGCATGTGGATGCCAACCGATTTTTGCATACCTGTTTGGCAGCTATGTACAATCATGTCTGTCAAGGTTCTAGGCCTAGTATGGTCCTAGCTTGCTGAAAAAATAGAAAGTATAAAGGATCAAGTTCAATGTAACTTCTGACTCAAAATTAGGTAGCAATTTAAATAAGGAACAATTCC